CTTGGACCATCTGTGCCCTCAAAACAAATGTCTCGCGCTCCTTTTAAGTTGTTTTCCAAAATTACAAACGGTAATAACAGAATGATATGTACTTTACATAACTTTAATTTAAGACCTTTTTATATACGACGGCAAAGTAAATTTAAAATCCTTTTGACAATCCAAGTATTAATATGTCCACTGTCATTTTGGCTTTTCACACTTCAAAGACCTTGAATGTCCTTGAATTTGAAAACAAAAATTCATGGCCTTGAATGTCCTGCCTCCTCCGCATTCCCTTACTAAGATCAGTGTATATATAGACATATCAGTTTAATACATAGATCAGTGCCTGAAAAAATCTGTTGTGACCCATCATTCCCTTCGCCCCTTCAATTAAGACTCTATCCTCCAATGTCTCCCTTTATCCCCCTCCCCGCGAATTTAATAAAGCGACTGGGGACGAGGCAGGCATCGGAGCGTCGCGATTTTCATACCGGATTCGGCTGCTGTTTACACTACGCCACAGTAATCCGGTACGCGACGCGGCGTAAAAATCACTCCGCTTTGGAGGTGACATGAAAACTAATCCGGTATGTGCCGAAGCAGTGTAAGCAGGCCGGTTTTCGCGTGTACGTTTTACCATTGTCGCCTTTATCTGGTTGCTTTTACAATATTTTAGAGCTGTCGTTTGTTTCGCCTTACAACCATTTACTATTTCAGGCGACAACAAATAAAGAAAACGATAACAACATTGACTTTTCGCTTTCGATAGGGCAAAATTTAAAGAAATACTCGTCAATTTTGGATTAGAGCGAAAAGAAGCAACGTAGTCAAGCTTTTTTTAACAAAGTTATACTTTACAAAGAAAACGTGCGTTACTTCTTGTTTTTAATAAATTTTAGTGTACTGGCCAAAAATATTACTTGTTTCCATGGCGACAGCGAGACACGAGCTGGCAACAGAGCGAAGTAGCATGCATAGTGTAAACACCCTTGTTTTTTACTTCGGAATAAAAATTAATCCGGTATGAAAATCAGTCTGGTATAGTGTAATTCCAGCCATAGATTGCATAGAATTTACAACGAAATTTACACCGCTAACTCTAATGAAAACTAATTTCTCTTGGATTTTAATAATTTTATACTCCAGATAACCTGAATGTTAGCATGGTTATGCTGTAGCCCTTAGTCCGGCTAGTCCAGGAAGTAGAGGTAGTCCAGGCAGTAGAGGTAGTCCAGGTAGTAGAGGTAGTCCAGGTAGTAGAGGTAGTTCTGGTAGTCCAGGTAGTAGAGGTAGTCCAGGTAGTAGAGGTAGTCCATGTAGTAGAGGTAGTTCTGGTAGTCCAGGTAGTAGAGGTAGTCCAGGTAGTAGAGGTAGTCCAGGTAGTAGAGGTAGTTCTGGTAGTCCAGGTAGTAGAGGTAGTCCAGGTAGTAGAGGTAGTCCATGTAGTAGAAGTAGTCCAGGTAGTAGAGGTAGTCCAGCTAGTAGAGGTATAGTCCAGCTAGTAGAGGTAGTCCAGCTAGTAGAGGTAGTCCAGCTAGTAGAGGTAGTCCAGGTAGTAGAGGTAGTTCAGGTAGTAGAGGTAGTCCAGGTAGTAGAGGTAGTCCTGGTAGTCCAGGTAGTCCTGGTAGTTCAGGCAGTCCAGGTAGTAGAGGTAGTAGAGGTAGTCCAGGTAGTAGAGGTAGTCCAGGTAGTAGATCGAGGTAGTCTAGTTAGTAGAGGTAGTCCTGGTAGTAGAGGTAGTAGAGGTAGTCCAGGTAGTAAAGGTAGTCCAGATAGTAGAGGTAGTCCAGGTAGTAGAGGTAGTCCTGGTAATAGAGGTAGTCCTGGTAGTAGAGAAGTCCAGGTAGTAGAGTTAATTCAGGTAGACCAGGTAGTAGAGGCAGTACATTTTGCAACTCAATGGATGTGACGTTGTCTCTCAAACCCGCGGGTCAAACGAGCATAAGAGTTGATCAGAGTTGCAACTCTGCAAATGCTCTCTCACGCAAATGTTTAACTGAACTAACGGATAAGGAAGCTGATGTACCAAAACGTAAGCAATGATTAGGAATATCCAAGTATATCCATCACAAAAAAATTCTAAAGAAACATCAATATTCTATTACATCAAGCACATTGATATGGTCAGTACTGTGCACATGCAGATTAGTATCAACATATAAGGTTACCATTCATATTATCTTCAAACTAGAGAGAAAATCACTGGATAGCGACATGCAAACACTGGTGTATGGAAATTATAACAAATTCATCAGCGCTACAGACACCATCCGGAAGGTCCAGGGGCAAGATGCAGAAAGTTTCTTGTTTGGGAAAAATTCAAGTTTTGTACTGCATCCACTGCATTGAATGTACGTTATAAATGCTGTGCACATGAGTCTTCAAATATGATGAAGTTCTTGTATCTTTGGATAAAAGATTATTTAAGAGATGGGCAATCTGTCCATAAGAATGTCTGCTACTACCGCATTCAATGAAAAATCATTAATACTTTTGAAGACAAAAGTTTGCAGATCAAAAAAGTGACATTCTCTTATGTAGTAGGAGGATATTTTTAAAAGCAACAAAAATTCATCAAGGACAAGGCTCTTCATGAAGTGTTAGGTGAAATATCACTCGAAGAGCGCTATTTCCTTTTAGTGGATCCACACGAAAGTTAGTTACAGCATGAATAATAAAATAATTTATTTTATTATCCATGGTTACAGCACGCATTTTTTCATGCACTGTAAATATTTTTTCTATTTGGTTCTTAATTAATGGAAGTACTAAAGTACTACACGAAAGCCCGCGATGTTGCACATCAGCATCAACATATATAGTCCTTTTGCGATATTCAGCAAGATTGTGCAGTGATTGTAAAGGATATCAGACTGTTTGAAAGATTATTTTCAGAAATGCAAACTTTAAGGTAACCACGCTGTTTTACGTAGACACTTTTCAGAATTTCAGAAATCCATTTGATTGAAAATTTGCTCAAAAAATCAAATGCCCCACATATGCCCGACTCCCCCTCTCTGGGGCTTAACATTAATAGGTGCATAAGAACCACCATGTCCATTTCTCAAACTTTATCTGAATTAGTTGTGTAACAGCATTACAAAAATAACAAAATATTGTAAAAAAAAAGCCAAGTGGGCCTTCACTGCCATAAAGGGCATTCTATCCAATGGAATTCTAGGACCAACATCTCCATCATAGCGTTGTTCTCCAAAGCATCAGAGCAGCGTGATAAATCAAATTGTCTTTTTGAGCAGCATTAAGTACGGACATTTTTGAGGGACAAATTAGCATCTAAACCAGGGTTAACTTTTACCAGCCATTTTTGAAACAGGTGGACGAGTAGTAAGTAGTTGTTCTCGTTGTCGCTGGGTTAGTTTTGAAAATTCAGAAGTCATCATGTCAGTTATTACCAGGGAGGTGAACAAAGTTTTGATCACTTGATGGAGACAATCTTAGCATCGGAGATCTTGCAGATGTAGAAGGTCTGTACAGATTGGAAGAACCGATATTACCTCCAAATTTAATGATGATGCTTAATTCTTGCAGACAAAATCATTGACGAAAATAGAATCCAGACAAAATCACGAATCCCAAATGGCCAAATCTAAAACATCAGCCAAACAATAAATTTCACTTTGTCACAGAATTATTTACATACTTCAACTCAATATATACAATCCATAATTTTCCGAAACTTCTATAGTATATCACATTTCTTTAGAAAAGAAACGAGTAATAGCAGTTCATTATCGATCTGAGTGACAAGCGAGGTGACAAGGCAGCATATTTTATAAAGGGCTATATTCAACGATGAATGTCAACGGTGGAGTTTCTTTCGCTTTTTCTCCTTGGGAATGTAACTTCCACCAATTTCATATTTGCACTCTGGGCAGTTTTGGGCTTCCAGAAGTTTGCATGGACATGCAGGACACTTGCTTTTGCACCTTTTTGTTGCACTGCCCAGGATAATCTAAGAGAGATAATAGCATTAGGGGTAACTACAAAAGGAGCAATGGTTAGGTTGGGATATATACAATTTATTTCGCTTTATTTAAACATTTTCTGCATCTCACTCGATGAAATTAATATTGATGGTTTTTGTAGATAGATAATTCGAGTGAAATATATTATATATAGAATTTGACCTAACTGGGGACGGCTGCGAAAAATGCAACATTAGATCTTCCAGCAGGAAATTATCAAACCTGCGGCTGACCAATAAGCTACAGAGGTCCAGTTTTCACCGTCAATGAACACGAAAATATTTGCATAGCGGGACTAAATCGTCGGGCTGGCTACGCTATTGCGGGTGATGCTGGTTACGATGTACAGTGTACTGTCAAATGATAATCAATTTAAATTAATGTTGATGCATTTGTATCTATTTACAATTCCGGTGGCAATTGGTTGGTTTTATTATTATTATTTAACATCATTTATTCATGGTAGCCTTTCAGGTGCTTGTTTTTCAAAAGTCGTGCATAATATACATTATTAGTTACATAAACATATGATTAAATAGCCAATAGGCATGATGATCTCCCAATTCAAAAACACAAACCATCGATTAGTATGTGATATTGTGATTTATAGGTATTTTATATAATGAATCTGAGCCTCCATTACATTACATGAAACCAAAAATTAGTAATAGATGTGATTCAAACTAATGTTGAAACAGTCCTATTACTGTACACATTGGAAATAATAGATGTGATTCAAACAAATGTTAAAACAATCCTATTACTGTATAAATTGTAAATCGCTAATATGGCCGAAATAATACTGTAAATACTGTTAGAAGTCTAACGCCATATGTTATTATTGTATATATACATGGCCGAATGTAGCGATCCAATTTGTCATATAAACAATACAATTAAAACTGATCATTTACCTCTTCTCCGTCCATGTTTCCAAAATTCAAAACTCACATATCTCCTTTATATTCTCAGCCACCATAAAAACAGTGTAAAATCAGCACACAAAAAGCGTTGTTGGCGGTTATCACTTATATGCAATTCTATATGCCTATATTGCAGTATTTTAATACTGCAATATAGGCATATAGAATTGCACTATAGGCATATTGAATATAGCACTATAGGCATATTGCACTATAGGCATATTGCAATATAGGCATATTGAATTGTTTAAAAACACATTGCGAGCTTGCGTGGCAACACGGTCCTGCAGCGAAACCCCCCAAAAACGGGCAATGCTTGATTGTGATTGTTGACTACCTGGACTACCCTATTTACTCTACTGGCCAATCAGAAGACTCGATCATATAGCTAGGTATTTACTGGGGTTCTTGCAGGCGTCTTGTTCGCTACGTCACATGCAACCAAAGGTCCACTAAAATACACTAAACTAGGAAAATAAACAAATCTGAAGTGTTCGTTACACACTGCATAGCGATATAAATTCGATATAAAATCAGGGTAATTCAAATTTGAAATGCAAACGCTCATGTGTATTTCAGAGCTATAAACCATGTCCGTCGTAATAATAGAGCTCAAATATCATCATGTTTAATGCTTGCAAACTAGCTTTGTATACACATTTCAATGTGAGTGCGATATAATATCAGCGCAAACCGCAAATGATCTACAGTTGTCGCACTATTTCAGCAAATTGCGCACATTAATTATATTTCATAATTACACGCAATACACAAATGAAGCCTATTAATATTATAAACTTCCTTTGGAGAGCGATAAATAGGATTATGATTTACATGATGCCGTTAATAGTCGCTTTACCTCACCGGTGAATCTCAAGCGGTGAAGTTCTCTGCCTGATCTGTTCTGAATTAGTCTTTCTCCTATATCGGCAACATGAATTGGTAAAAACTTAACGACCAGTCTTACTGCAGCCGCAAATGACAGACATTTTGAAATTTGAACGCAATTAAATTGTTGGCAGACACCATAGACTTCATACATGTTGACTGATGTTAATTCTTAGCCTCTGTCTTAGTCTATAAACTGTGGTTAATCAGAGGTGCTATCAAATATGTTATATGGAAAACGCGTACACTAATTTGCGGACACTGACACGCGGACATGGAAACACGGACATGGAAAATGCATTCGGATAGGGAAAACGGACATGGAAAACACGTACATTCTCACCGTAACTGTTTCACTGTGGTTTCCTGGAGTTTCCTTCATTAAATGCCTGAAGCTACTGAGAATTTCAACAATTTTATGGCTTTAATTAAGCTGGCTCGACACAGTGTTTTTTAAAAAAATGGAAATTCACGATTTAGATCCGACCTTTTGGACAATTATTATTTGTTGAAAAACAAAGGTATGTTACTGATGTAAAACAACCTTCTCTCACAAAATTTACGTAACTGCTAATTGTTATTAATGATGTTTCATGGTGGCGGATATTTTGGCTTAATTGAAAGTAATTTAACTCGAAAAATGATTTCTTTTAATACACTCAATTATTTTTAAAAAATCTGTTGAGCCAAAAAAATTATTGTGAATGATAGATAGGTCTGTACAGAGAAATATGTATTAAGAAGTTATTAATCACATTTACGTAATTTGAAATCTTTTGGCTTTAACAAATTTTTTTTTAAATTCTCAAAATAATTGAGTATACTAAAGAAATCGTTTTATGTGAAATAAAATTTGGAGTCACCCATGTCATTTACAAGTTAAATTAATTTAAAGCCAGAAAACGTCATTGTTGCCATAGCAACGGCAGTTGCGAAACTTTAATGAAAACTGATTCAAAGAAAACCAATTAAATCCAAAGCAACATAAAATAATTGAGTATCATTACTTTCGCCTTCTGTGCTTCTAAGTTAGCAATTATAATCTTCAAGATCAGGCGCATTCTTGACCATTAGGTTCTGTAAAATGATACACTGACCTTTATTCGCTGAGCGGAATTAGTGGACTCGTCCCGGGCTTACGCCCGGAACGGCGCTTCGTGCCGTTGGCTCGGGGATCAAAACTGTGGACTAGCAGACTAGTCTGGGAATTTATTCCACAAAGCAGTTTATCACCAGATGACGATGATGATCAGCATGAGCTCCACCTTTGAATTTACTATATGAGTAAATTCTTAAACACGTCCGAATTTATCATTATGATAAATTCGCGGCAAATTTTGAATTTATCATAATAATAAATTCGCGGCACCTAACACTAACCATAACCCCAACCCCAACCCTAACCACTAACCCCTAACCCCAACTTTTTTAACTTTTAAAATTTTTTAATTAAACTTTTTAACTTTTTTAAAAATCTAACTTTTTAAACTTTTTTTGCTTTTTAAAACTCTTTTAAAACTTTTCAAAACTTTTTTAAAAACTATTTTTTTTAAAAACCTGAAAAACTCCCCAACCACGCGCGACCAGCTTCCCTTTTAGTGCCATTACATTTATAACAAGAAATCTTGTCTAATGCTTGTGGTTTTATGATTAACTCTATTGATAAATTCAAAATGTGCCGCGAAATTATCATAATGATGAATTCGGACGTGTTTAAGAATTTACTCATATAGTAAATTCAAAGGTGGAGCTCATGTTGATGATGATATATCCTTTCCAAAAACTGTATTTCAATGAAAACGAAACTAATTACAGTATGGGCCACGAATACAGTGTAGGTCACGATAATGTCTCAGTGAATTCGCTTGCCATGCCAAAGATATAGGCATAGAAAATTTGGAAAGACATACAAATTTTGACTTGGCAGCCAGTACAAGAATTGAGCAATTTTTCCTCTAAGCATGATAGTTCTCAAAAAGCATTTTAATTCAAAGGTAAAGAAAAAGAATTTGCTGTGGACTCAGGTATAAGTTTTTCGCGGAAAAATAATGAAAAAAGAAAAAAGGACAACACCATTTTAGTTTCAGGGACACGTTTGTGTCCTTCAAGTTGCATGCATGGATAGAGTTGAATTTCATTGATGGAATTATTTGATAGGAAATATAATTTGACTCCGAAACATCCCGTTAATAAAACATCAACTTTAGTCCATTGTGAGTAAAATCAACTACGAAAAATTTGTGTTCTTTGCAGAGTTTCACATTCAAAAACATTTAATTAGATAAAAGAGTAGTTACTCCCTTTCTTGCAGCAAAAACATTATTTGAAAAAGCAGTGAATCACAGGGACGCCGGAGAAGGATCCCCCCTACTGCCCTTTCCCAAGAGGGGCAAATGTGCCTATTTGATTTTGGGGAAATATTTGTTATGTTTTAAAAAATCATTAAAAAATCATTGCATGTTCGCCACACGAGCCCCAAGTCTCGAATCAAAAGAAGGTTATTTAAGGGGAAATGTACATAAGTCATAACTTTTCTCGTAGGCGTCGATTTTACTACCAAATCGTTAAACTGTTGGTGATTTCAAAAAATGTTTACTATAAATTTTTAAGTTTCCGAAAAAAATTGTGTCCGGAAGATTTTATGACGCGAAATTTATGAACTTGTGGAAAAGTGCCCCAGTACGAAAATCTGTCCTACCCCTTGCCCTGGCACGTCGTTCCGGCGTCCCAGATGAATCATATAATTAGAGAGTTTTAGATTGACGTATTTTCGCATTTCTCGCTAACCGCAAACGGCTAAAAATCACGTGACAGCCATCTTGCCGTCAGGTTACACGTTCGAAGTCGGACGTTTCTACGCGAGGGAGGCTGTTTTCATGCAGGTAGGTAGTTTCCCTCAAGGTTTTCATGCATTTTATTGTTCTTTTTCTCGCGTATAAACATGGCACTTATGTTTATTATCACTATGACTTTCTTTCTTGCATAAAATAAGGATATGAAACTACTATCTTCGACTGAAATATTGTGTCGAATTCAGTCGATGTCAATAAACAAAATGGCGGGTAAAAGCATAGCCCAAATGCATAGCTGATTTACATTGTTTTTGTTGTTATTTGTTTTTCTCGTAATTTTGAGATTTAGAGTTTTACTCCGTTAGGCTAATTTTGTTGCGAATTTTATATAAAATCTGTTTGTGTTGGCTATTAGTAAAACCAGGAACACTGGAACACTAAAAATTCTTAATTTGTTAAAAATTCGAAAAAAAATTACCGGGGGGTGTGGAATTATTGCTGGAAAAATTATTGCGTAAAACATGCTTTTTAATAATATTTCTACTTGCCGATTGCTACTATAAATTAGGAACTGAAATCAGTCTTAAAATAAATGAAGAAGAAATCAAACCTTGTTATTTGTTGACAATAAGTGGCTATCTTTGTTTGTTGTTGAAAACATGACCTTTGGCCGGCTTTCGGTCAATATAATAGTGTAACAACAGTTGATTCGGCCTCGGATTCGGCTTCCTTGTTTTTACAAACTTATTTATGAAGTTGAAAAAGATAATTTTCATCTCTCGTTCAAAGTGTGTCTTTATTTTAGCATCACTTACAATTCTTTGATATACGTAATAACAACTTGATCGTTTCCCACACAACACATAAGCAGCGATGGAAGGGAAAATGTTAGCGTGATAATAACCTTTCGCCGTTTCGGTCAATCAAAATGACAAAAATACAAACAAATGCATGTAGGCCTTGTAAGTCATAGCTTAATTAAAGAAGATTTCAACGCATGTGTGTTGTAAAACAGGAAAGTTGTAAAATCAACTTATTGTTTATACATATAAAAATGGCGCATCCTAGCTATAAATGGCATAAATGGAGAATAATACATGGGTGCGCGGAAATACCAGATTTATTTCGAGTGTTGAACATGATATCATGTTCAACACGAGAAATAAATCTGGTATTTCCAAGCTCCCATGTATGTTTCTGTTTATTATATAAACAAAATTCAGTGAAAAACAATAAAACGTCCGTGGCAATGCGTTTTACAACAAATGATATTTTCACACGTAAAAATATCGTATTTTTTACTTGTGTTTAAATACGATTTTTCTCAGTGGCCAAAAACTCTATATTAAGCTTCGGATACACAAGCAATATTTTTGCTGCGATGGTTACACAATGGATGATAACAGCATTGCGTTGCCGTCTACAAAGTGGCTACACCTGCAATATTTCACCTGCACTATATGTCTTCATAACGCTTTTCATTGGCTGGTCAAGAA